AAAAAAAAAAAAAAAAAAAAAAAAAAAAAAAAAAAAAAAAAGTAAAAAGAGTGGTTGGAATAAATAGTTTGATATGGATGGGTGGGAGTGGGAGTAATGTGATAAAAAAGGGTAATTGATCCTAAAATAAATTGAGGAGGAGAAATAGAGGCGTGTTAAAAAAAGGAAAGAAAATAAATATGGATGGTGGTTGAATGATGTGGTATGGTAATTGGTATGCATAATGCATAATGCATAATGCATAATGCATAATGCATAATGCATAATTATTAAAATAATAAAAAAGAAAAAAAGAAAAGGAGGGTGAAACCTTAATAAAAAGCAGATTGTGTTGAACATTGTATTCTATGGTGGAAGGGGCAGTAGTACACTTGGTCTCACACACTCACACATCCAAAGCACCATGTCCCGCGCTCCCTTCTGCTTCCCCTCCGACTTCCCTTACGACATCCAACCCTCCTGGGAGGCCGAAGAGGACTTCTTCGCCGCCCTCAGTCGCCGCCTCACCCACCACCACCTCCCTGTCAACGCCGCGCCCTTTCCTCGCACTAACCACGCTTTCAAGCAGACCCCTTTGCCCAAGCACCGTGCTTCCAACAGAGCGCCTCACTTTGCTCACCAGACTGGGAATGTCAAATGCACTCCTCCTTTGCAACACAACAATCGCCCGCACTTTTCCGGATCCGCCGGATCTTCTGTCAAAACAGGGTGTGCTGGAACTGGAGTCTTCTTGCCTCGTCATTATCAAACCCCTCCTCACTCCCGCAACAAAACTGGTATCTGCTACCTCCCAACTTTCTATCTATGTTATTTCTTTCTTTTCTGTCTTATGGTTGTTATTCGTTTTTCTTTTTCTAAGGTTCTGCGCCTGTTCTGTTACCGGCTAAGGTTGTTCACGCGCTAAACTTTAACATGCATCAGTTCAATGGGGCTCCTCACCACCGTTTCTTCAATGCTTTTGCTGCGGATTATGGTCAGTGGAGTTGGGTCATCTTTTGGGCTTAATCTTCGTGAAGCAATTCTTTTTTTTTTTTTTTTTTTTTTTTTTTTTTTTCTTTTTTATGACTATTAGACTCACTTGCGTTGATTGGTTGCACTTGCAGAAGCGGCTTTAGCGAGGAGGAACGCGCTTCTCATGCAGCAGAGGTTAACTTTACTACGGCCAGAAGAAGCAGCTAACTACGAAACTCGCTTGCCACAAGAGTGGACTTACTAAAGACTCTGATTTCTCCAAGGAAGATTTCTATTAGCAAAGTTTGTGCTAGTTTAGGACATGTGTTTGGGGCTAGTTTAGTTGAAATAAAACATCAACTATAGGGACTACTAAAGATTGCAGCTTTTGGGGCCAGGTTTTACCGTTTTAGGAATAGTGAAAGGATAGCAGATTTAGATTAGGCAGGGCTTTTTCCTTTTCTCTTTTTTCTCCCTTTTAAATTAATATTAATATTATTATTATTATTAGTTGTAATAATAACATAAGCGGGTCGTTTTCTTTTGGAATGGTTATGGACTTATGGTGATGGGATACCGATGGGGCTGAACGTTGGCCAAGTTTGAAGCCACAAGTGTCAAGTGTGGGAAATGAGTCCATGACCCATCTATGCTCTTTTGCCAAAATCCCATTCCCTGCTCATGAATCACACACACACACATAGATATATATATATATATATATATAGTATGTAATAAAAGTAGCTCTTCATGTCTTCCCTTAAATTTTAACCGTATTCATGGAAATATTGTATTTGGTTTTCAATTTCCTGTTATGGCCGTGAACCAAAAATGATGATCCTTGGTAGAGAATGGGCTACCAGGACCCAGTGTGGCATAATTTGAATGAAAGAGGAGGGGAATTTGGGTCAATTATCGATCTATATTTGTTTTTAATTAAAGTAATAATTTGAAGGAAGATTAGAGCGGGAAGGGAAAGATGGCGATGGTTGAGGCAGTTAGGCATTGAATTTGATTGAAGGAAGCGGGTGGTGGGGATGGGATATGAATTATGGGGATGGATATATACGTACGTTGTTTGGTTGGATTTTGATGGGTTGGTTGGGCCCATTCTCAACTCGACCCAGAGGGTGGGGCCCATCTGCTTTTACTTTTTTTTTTTTTTTTTTTTTTTTTTTTTTTTTTTTTTTTTCCTTAAACAAGCATCTAACCACGACATCTTCGAACTCATTTTGAGTTTGGAGCATTTCTTGATTTTGACTTGGTCAAACTTCCCTATCAAATTTGTAAACTATTTTTTCCATTTCAAATTGTTTTGGGTACATGTGCTATGTCCTCTTCCCTGGCTATTTCCATTATTTTATGGGTCTAACTACCGCTGCTGATGGGGTTCTTTACCGTGCTCCATTTCCACTTGCTTGTTTAAGAAAACAATGATTCCAAGGAGAAGAAGATGAGAAACTTTAAGTGGATCATCATTAATAATTCATATTATTTATCACCATTCTATTGGGGTAAGGGTTAAACAATTAAAATCAGTGTCACAGTGAATTAACCGTTCTTATCAAATTAATTTTATTCTATCTAGATGTAAAGGGTATTTTTGAATTCAATTTATTTGGAAGATGTCAAGATTCAGTAATAACAAATAATTCTTACATTTTTTCCGTGAAAAATACATTTTGTTGTATGTTTAAAATCTTAAGTTATTTTTATTAAATACACGAGTTATATTCAACGATACAAAATTAATTTCTTTTGATTTTAAAATAAACGGAAAGTTTAATACTTTCACGGGTATATAAACTGTAACCCGAACATAACATGTGGTTAGGGCCATGTTATCACAGTATAGATTAATTTTACTACTCTGGTTAATGATAAAAAAGAAATTATACTACAGCTTCAACTAGAATGTTGATTGTCACGTCAAAAAGCAACCAGAATCTTGATAATTACAGAAGAAGTTGAATATTCAAGAATTTAGGTTGTCACTCTAGAGTCTAGACTAGAAAATGACACATGTAGCCTGTTTGCTTCATTCCAAAATTCCAATTGCATTGATTTGCACAGTGTTTACATGGATACGGCTATTTTTGTTAAATTAATTTTCCGTGTAGATATTGCTGTGGAGAAATGTCTTTAATTTTTTTTTAAATTAAGGATAATTTCAAACTGATTATAATTTATTTCTTTTAACAAAGACTTATTTATATGTATGATTAAATAATCGAACTTATGTTGGCAATTGGCATATTTAAAGAGCTTAGGTTTTTTTTTTTCTTCCAACTATGCTAGACACAATTTAGAAATACACTATTTGAATCTTTAAAAGTTTTTCAATGTATGCAGAGTAATTCTTCGTATTATTTTCATTTCTCTCCTTTTTCTCCTGTCGAATTTTTGAATAAAATGAAGTAAAATTACAAAATATCTCTTCCTTCAATTTCCCTGGAGCTAAAGACAATGCGAGTGTTCTCTCAGTGCAACTGCTGAATATTTAATTAAATACATATATGCAATACGTATTTCCTTAGTCAGTATACCCCTACTAGATTTCTGAAAGGCATATATTAAATAATAAAATTTGAATTTGAATTTTGTATTCTTCTCTGTTGGCCCTTTAGGAGTTGAAGAAGCTCTCGATTCGGCTTTCTTCAGGGTGAAGAGCTCCCCCTCCAAAGAAAGAAAACAAATTTATTGATCAATTTTTTTTCAACACGTGGAGGGTCTCAATGCTGTTGTTATGACATGTTTCATTAACCAAAAGAAAAAGAAAATAGTTGTTGTGACATCATGGGTTTCCTTTTATTTTTTATTTCTTCTCTTTTTGTATATCCATTGGATGGATAGGGCTGAGACCTACTTATTTTGTGGCCCATGTCTAGCCTTAAATCACGTTTTTATGGGTCCATTCATGATCCATTGTATTTTTATACCCCTTTTGCTATTTCTATACCAAGTACAAAGTAACGACCACTCTCACAATAAAACCGGGGGATAAACTAGGACACCAATTAAATATCTTGTCATCAATAATTAACGATGCACATTAGTTATCACGAAAATATGTAAGTAATAAACAATGTAACATTTTACCAACAAGTCGTTACACTAGTAGTATTGGTGTTCATCCTTTTAAACAAAATCTCAATCTCAAGTTTCAATCTTATATATATAGAAAAAAAAAACCGTAATTGAAAGAAGAAATTACACATTGATTATCAAAATAAAAATACAATGTAACATTTTTTTTTTAGAATTGTAAAATTGGGTCACCCTTAACTTTAGAGCTAGGTATACAAACCTGCCTCTTGCCCATCACTAAAAAATATGGGGAAAACTTTTATTTTGATGCTTAACTTGATCTTTTTAAAATAAAATAAAAATCACAATTTTTAAAAAATGATTATATGTACGTATAACTAACTAATAAAATAGGTAGAATTCTTTCCTAAGCCCTTACAAATTACAATATATCATCTCCCATCCTAATCTGCACCCCTTCTCTAAATAAAAAAAAATGTTTTTAAATTGAAAATTAGAAAAACTTCAATCAAAATTTTATAAATTGATTGTAAACTTGAAAAGAAATAGATCATATATGTCAATATATGTTTGCCGTGATCCACCTAGTTTTGAAATCATATATAGGCATCTAATCATGAGAAATGATGATAAAATTTGATTTTCCTTGAGTGAAAAATAAAGTATATAATAATTTTAAACAAATTAAAAAATTATTATCCACAAACAAATTATTAGCATCAAATTCAAATACTCAATCAACTCAATCAATACATCTCAATGGACAAATCAAAACAACGCTTGCCATTTCTAAATTAAACATAATTATCCTGTTTGACTTTTGACAAATGTGCCAAATGTTATAAGTAGTAAAATGGATAAAAAAAATATAAATATCAAACGCATGAAAACTTGTGTAACAACTAATTAATCTAATTTAATATTAATTAGAAAAAAATATTTAAAGAATGTAATAAAAATAAAAAAGTATATTTTTAGAGATTTAAAATAATAAAAGATTGAAAAATAATTGAAAATTTTAAAATAAAATATATTAGTGACTGATTTTATTAATTTTTTTCACACACATCTTCCCTAATTATTATTTAATCTTAGTAATTATCAAGTTAATTTAACAATTAATGAAAATATTCAACCATAATTTCTTAGTTGAGAAATTCTAAGTTTTTTTTAAAGAAAATTCAATTCTTTGGTGAAGTTTGTTAAATAATTCGCATTAAGATCGAAAGTTTAAAACATTCAAAATAAGACTTATTTTATTTACGGTAATGAACATTATTAGTGTTATTCTCTGGATAATAGTTTTAAAAGAAATTTTCAACCTCAATTAATTATATGGGATTATGTAGAGAGTTACCAAGCCAATACATGCATTAAGAGAAGAAGAAAACAATTAACTAAATAAAAACACCACTTGAATAAAAATAGGAAGAATTACATGGAGTAGGATACATAGCTACATTAATCTCTAACAACATCTCTCTTTATTCTCTCAAACCTATCTAATATATATATATATATATATATATATATAATATGTCTTTTTTCAATAAAATCTATTTTTATAAGATTTTAAATATATTTTTTTTCTAATTAAGCTTGTGATGTCCACTTGCTTAGAGCATTAAGATGGCTCGCTTGAGTGAGTCCTTCATGATGTTATAAGGTATCTTTTGAGTTGATTCGATCCTAACACCTAGATGACTTGCTTAGAATGAATATGAAGTCATTTAGAATGAGTATGAAGTCACTTAGAGTACATTTCCTTTTCTCTTGGAGCGAATGCTCTTAATTTTGTCTTTTTTGTCATCAATTCCTTCCTCCCTAAATATCAAAATTAGCAAAAAAAAAATAAACAAATTATCAAAACATCTAAAACTAAAATAACTGCATTAATTAAGGAGATAAAATTAAAATACTAAATTTTGACAAAAATAAAACTCTAAAATATAAATATATATTAAATAATTATCTAAATTAAATTAAAATATTAACATATTTAACAATTATAGAGTAAATCAAGTATGTAACAATTTAGAAAGTATATATACAATACTAAAAGTAAAAAGTGCATCAAATCAAATATTTAAAATACACAATCAACAATTTTCTTCAATAATTGTATTTGATTCCATCCTTGATGCAGTTGGCCCTCCATGTTTGTTTCACTTCATCCACAAGTCATCATAATTCCTAAGTAAGGTGGTTTAGACTTTAAACAGAAAATAAAACTCAATAGAATATTTTTCTATACATTAAAGAATTTAATATTTACATTCCACCTCATATCCTAGCTACCAGTTTCTAATACATATAAACAAATTTAAAATATTTTTTATTTAGAATTTTTAAATTCAAATATAATATTTCAATACATTTTATTTTATTTTGTTCCAAATACAAAAATTTAACTCAAATAAAAAAAACAAAATACTAATTGGACTAACTGACTTGATGCATAACGGATCAACACATATTAATCCAGTTGAAATTCGTGTTAAACTGAGTTAGCCCAAATTAAACTAGAATATTTGGTGCTTGCAGTCTTGAACACGTCTTTAGTTTTTATCCCAATTTAATGATTGATCTGCGCAATTTGTGAAAACGAAGCTACTTTTAATTATTTGATGTCATAATTTGTTGCTTACTATTGGAACCAATCATCCACGACACATCCATAATATATGCCTCTTTTTTGGTTAGTGCCATCTATTGTGCATCACCTTATCACTCACCGGTGTGCATTTAGTTAATCATTTGCAGCTAATAATGTATTACAAATACAAAAACTAAACATATTAATCTGCCTTTTTTCTTCTTCTTCTTCTTCTGAATTTGATAGTATTTATCCTTTTCAACTTGAATTTTGATTAAAGAAGTATAATGTCTTATGTGTCATGACTAAAGGTATTGTTTGATAAAAAATAAAATAAATTCTCACCTTGTTAAGCAGTCAAAAACAATGGTAATTGTAATTTATGAACATTTTTTCTTTTAATTCACTCAAACGCTTTTTATTATAAAATTGTGTCGACCGAACGAATGACAAAACAAACGATATTTTATAAGTAGTGACTTTGTTGATGCAAGTGACTGAAAAATACACTTTATAATTTCTAATATAATTTCTCGACATGTTTTTTCACTTTTGTTTCCCATCAGTGATGGTATGGAAGACCCTTTAAAAGTAACTTGAAGCAAATAAATCTTTCTGGACATATTATTAATTTTTATTTTGTTTAAGCATTAAGACATTTCTTTTTTATATTGGTCATTCATTGGTTGTGAATGCATGATCAACTTTAGAGTTGTCATTTCCAAACTTTTTTCTGTGTGTGTCAAGAGTCATTTCCAAACCGAAGGAGAGCATCTTGCATTTTATTCAGCAGATTGCGGAGACAACATGAGGTCCATCATGTAACAACTAATCCTATAAATATGCTAGAAAGAATTTCTCGGAAAATCCTCAAGTACAATGCACTTAAATCATTCTTAGCATGATTGAATATATTTATTAATTAGATTTTTTTTATTAAACATCAATTCGATCAGATCTTAGAAAAAAAATATCAACTTTTTTTATAGTTCTTGGAAAAGAAAGCCACCAAATAGTCTTTTGAAAACTTTATCCATTAGATATGATACTCTCTCAAAACTCCTTACTTTTAAATAGAATTGTTTGTGTCTCAGTTGAGATCACAACTATAATTTTCACTTTTGTTTGGATAAGCGTTCTAGTCAATTTGATTGGCACCAATTTAAATGCTTTCCTTTATAACTTTCACGTATTTCATTATTCGACGTCAAAAAAAAAAGTACAACACCTCTATATTTTTTAATGTTTACTCCAACTAAAAAGAGTATAAAAAAACTAAAAAGAAAAGTTACAAGTTACTCCAACTTATGAGGTAAAGTATCATAAAGTTTAAAATAAAGAAAATTGCGATAGAGAATCATTTAAAAATTGATTAAATAAAAGATGCAATAGGAGTATGTAGATATCCTATTTATAGAGCTTATTAGAACTAAAAATTCTCTCTTAACAAACTAATAATCACTGACTAATATTTCTAACAAACTGAGTACTCATAAAAATAATTTTCTAATTCCTTTTTCTTTTTGTAGGAAATCGTGTCATTTTTTTCTAATCTACAAAAATCACAAAACAAGCTTTCAAAAGTTATGCTATTGAAGGAGGCATCGATTTTGTAATCTATTACATTAAAGGTATATATCATTGTTGCTGAGGTTTCACAGTTTATTACAAAACTATTTTTTGAGTTGTTTGGTTTATACAAGTACCTTGAGGGTACGTATGATTTGTTTGTTTGTTTGTTTTGTTGTGCGAATCCACTACCAATTAATGCATTACCCACATGGACCAAACAACATGAAAATTAGTTTTGTAATAATAGACTTTGAGACTACACCAACATTGACATAACTCTGGTGTAATAAATTCTACAACCGACACATCCTTTAGTTACAATGGTTTCTAATCACAATTTTGGCAAGCAAATATTTATGACAGATCCTTTAGAATTTATGGTTCACAAGAGATTTGGAACAAAATGAGCAAGCATACAATAGGGATTTGAAAATCGGATAAATATTTACGAGTCATAATATATAGAAAGATTGGAATAGAATACACTTTTTTTTTTTTTTTAGTTTATTTGTGATTTTTGTTGAGACATAAATGACGTTGGTTGTTGTTCAAAAAATGTTATTTTATGGGTCAAAATTCTGGATATCATGTTAGCTATACAATAGGTATTAGTTTACAAGAGTACTTGTTCGAATTACGGAGAAAGGAACACACTAAATTAATGAAGAGAACACAACTCAATATAAAATATTATTATGTATCCAATTTGATAGATTTTTTTTTCAACATGGTTGGTCTGAGTATAAAACACTGCTTCAGTCTCTATATTGTCAAGAATATCCGGCCCAAGTATGTATGGGCCTAACGAATAATCATTCACGAGTTTATATTTTGTTTTATTTTTGGTCGTTAATCAGTCACGAATTTAAGTGGCTTAGGAGGATTTTAGACCTAACCTATTTACTTTTAAGAGAATTGATCCTAACTAAAGTTATATATGAGTAGATGACCTTGTTTTGAAATAAAGGTGTTAATGGAATGAGGGTGATTAATTATGGTTAGATTTTCTAAATTGATTTTCAATTGAAATAAATATATAATAATTTAAAAGAATCTAATTTTATGTTTAGTCCTTGCACTTTAATCTATGAGCATGAGATGTGGAGGTAAATATATAAGAGAAAATGTACGAGCAATAATAGAAGGGTATTTAGTTATTTAGATGCATGGATTACTCATGATGGTTGTAAACCACTTTAGTTTAAGTTTTGCTGCTTGAAAATTTTAAAACGGTAGCTGAAACTAGTATTGGAATGATGATGGTAATTCGAGATTTTGAAACAAGCTTATAAATACGAACATTTCAGTTAAATATAAAAAATGGCTAAGTTTGACCAGAAAATATTAAAGAAATGCATGTTATAATTTTAACATTAATATAAATATATCATGACATATGATTAATCCTTGATAAGCTAACAACCAAAACATCCATCATTAGACGTTATAAATATAATATCATTAGAGGTCAAATTAGTGATAAGAATTGAAATAACATGCACAAGGAATTAATTTTAATTTTGATGGATAAAAAAAAGATGCATATAATATCATCAGCCAAAGAAAATTATTTTGTAGCATGTTCCATATGTTTTTAAATAAACAATGAAAGATCCTATCAATGCACTTCAAACAGTTTAGCATGAACTTAATCAAGAGGCTTGAAAAGTAGATGACTCTAATGACAGAATGTAAGTAACCAAGGCTTCCAAAGAAGAGCAAGAGGAACCACCTGTTTTCAAGCAAAGCTTTACCTCTTCCTTCAATTTCAAGGCCCTATCTCTAATCTCCTTCCCTTCAGCATTCACATCCATCAACCTTCTAATGGCCCTTTCTATTTCCCCTCTCTCCACACCATTTTCTAGTTGCAACCCAATCCTCCAAACATGACTCACATACCTTGCATTCACTTTTTGGTCCGTGAAACATGGCATGCATATCATAGGAACCCCTTCACAAATACTCTCCAAGGTTGAATTCCAACCATTATGAGTCCAAAATGCACCAACTGCTGAGTGGGCCAAGACTTCTAGTTGGGGGGCCCATTTCACTATGAGGCCCCGGCCTTCCAAATTCTCCATGAGCCCACTTGGTAGGGGTTCGAGCCATTTTGAGCCCATGATCAGGCCCGGTCGAACCACCCACAAAAAAGGGTGGTTGCTGTTGGCTAAACCCCAAGCTATCTCTAAGAAATCTGTCTCAGTTATTGCAGCAACACTCCCAAAACTCACGTAGAGCACAGAGTTGGGTGAGTGTTTGTCTAACCAAGAGATGCAACTTTGGTCTTGTGATATTAAGCTGCTACAAGAAGAAGAAGAAGAAGTAGGAAAGTACTTGTGAAAGGGACCTATTGGGAACATTGGCATGGAAAAGGAAAACTCTTGGCTCAGTTTTGTTAGTGCAGATGATTCCAACTCCTGAAAGGAGTTCCAAATCACTCCCAAGGAATTCTTGGTCTCGTTGACAAATCTGTGTAATAATTCATAGTATTTCTCTGGCTCCTCTGTCTTCACCGTAGGTAAGTCTTTCACTCTCAGTGGTGGTACCTCTGTCACTGCCTCCTCCAATTTGCAATCTTATAGGATATTTCAAAAAATGAAAGTAAAAAATTACATGAGTTGTTATACTATATTTTATAATAATATTTCATACTTTTTCGTAATGTCATATCATTTTTTTTTAATTATGCGATACGATCAACTTTTTTCTCTAATATTAAGATTTACTATTAGTCTAGTGGAGGTGATTTAATAGGATGGATTAGAATATCTAAGGAGAACCGTCAAGAATTAGAAGTGGATCCTATATTATTTTTTTTATATTTTTTCTATTTATTCTTATGAATTTTGAAAAATATATAAAATTACATAAAATAAAAAATGTTAATTCTAAATATATTATAAAGTGAGGGTTAAATAATAATTCTAAATATCAAATTTACTTTATTTCTCACTTAGTTTTATCCAACTAAATAACTATAAATTCTATTATATTTCTCAATTTTTTTTAATCTAATTCTTATCAAATTAATTATCACTTATTCTATTCTATTTTTCCTCTCTTCAAATAAAGTCTTAAATTTTTCAATAGATTATACAATATATCTAAATTTTTGTACTTTATTATTTATTTTAATTTTAATTTAATGTATCTAAATGGCAATTATTAAATATATAATAATTTTTAATCAAGTAAAAACTTACTTCAAATTCAGCCAGTAATCTTAACTAAAAAAAAAGAAACCTTGATCTTATCGCTCTCTTTCAACTCAAAGTCTTAAGTTTTTTTTTTTTTTTTTTTTTTTTTTTTTTTTTTTTTTTTTTTACAACTTTTTATCTAAACAGGAATTTTTTTTTTCTTCTTATACATAAACAGGAATCAAATTAACCACTAACGTCGGCTCGACAGGTTAGAGCAATATCCACTTTAATTTCGACCTTTTTCATTATTTTGATAAATAAAAAATCAGAATTAATTTTTAATCCTTAACTAAAAATATAAATAACGAATCAGTTGGATTAATTTTTGGTATATGAGTTTTTTTTTTCTAACTAGTACTTTGTTTTTACAATACTACTCTTTTTAAATTTATATATGAGAAAAAAATACTTAAAATTTTAAAATTAAAATATAAATAAATTTTATTTAATATTTTTAATAAAAAAATAATTTTATAATAATAAATGAGAATACTATCTATCATAAATGTGGTTAAATATATTTTAAATAATATAATATATATTTTATGTAAAATTATAAAAATGAAATGTATTTATTAAATTTTTTAATGTATGTAAAATTAGTTAAGAATGATTAATTTTTTTCCTCTTATAAACATGGTTGATTTCATTATACATCTTTCACAGTAGAAATGTCATTCTACTATCTAGTTTCCTTGGGCTGTGTTGACTTTTGTCTTTGTGATCTTGTGCTCACGAATCCACTTCCCAATAAGAGGTCAGTGATGAATACAAAATTATACTGCTCTTTATCTTTTTATTTTATTTAGCATTTAAGGTTTTCATGGGAGAATATACTCCCTCTGTTAAATAATTAGTGTTTGGTTAATAAAATAAAAAATAACTTACTTTTTGTTTTTACGAGAACACAACAATAATTTAAAAATAATAATATTAGGAGTACATATAAAAAAGTAATTAATGTTATGTTAAAAATGAAATTTCAGGACAAAAAAGAAAAAAAAATGTAGCAGTATCAGTACTGACAAACCTTGTATGGGAATGTAACCTTTTAGTCTGAGAAAGGGAAACGCGGCGAAAGCAACGAAGGAAGAAACTCCACCCGTTCTCAGCACAATCCTGGGGAGGCGAAGCTTGTCGGCGACGCCTTGTGTGAAGTAACACAAAGCATCGGAGATCAAGCAGGCCACAGGTTGAGGTTCCTCCGACAGTAACTTTGTGACGCACTCCTGGAATGGCGTGACGCATTGAGCGTTGAGAGCGAGGAGGAAATTCAAGAGATGGGAAGCAGAGGATTGGGAGAGGCAGAGGGAGGAAGGTTCTTGGATGCAAGAGAAGTTGAAGTGAGGGTAGTTAGAAGGGTCTGGGGAGTTGAAGGTTGTGTGAAGGATGGTGATGGAGAAAGCGTTGGAGTAGAGGATCTGAGCGAGGTGGAGCATGGGGTTTATGTGACCTTGGAGTGGCAAAGGGATAAGCAACAACCTCCGCCCCTTTCTTTCCACTCCCTCCATTTCCTCTCTCCTTCTGTCACTTCTCTGCTTTTTCTCTTTTCACCGGGAAATATAAATATACTATTTATTTATAAATAATTCATTTTAAAATACATTTCTCATAAAAAAATAATTTTAACATGTTTTTTTAATAAAAAATAGTTAGATTAAATTAACTTTTTAAATCAATTTTAAAAGTAAAAGTTGATCATACTAGAATGAAAACAAATTTGTTAAACATCAATTATTATTATTATTTATTTATATTCTTAAAAATATTTTTAAAATATTGATGTTATGTTATATTATTTCTAATAAATAAAATTAATTATTTTTTAAAATATTTTTAAATTAATTTTTATATTAATGAGTCTCTTACTCTATTAACTACTAGACAAATTAAGAAAAATAACTTTAATAAATAATATTTAATGTAACAAAATAATTAATACAAAATATTGGCATCGGTTCTTATAAAAAAAAATAATTAAACAACACTCTTGATTTGAATTTCATAAAAAGAACCCAAAAACCTATTTTATTATGCACAAGTTAATCGTTTATTTTGTATGATAATAAATTTTTAACAAATAAATACTTTAAATATACAAATTATATTATATTTAAAATTTATTATTAATAAATATTTTGAATAAATAAATTCTATTTTAGGTTTATGATTAGTTTATACTATTTTTCAAAGTTATTTTTAAATATTAAAAATTAATTTAAAAATCGAGATAGAAAAATAGATTGAAACAAATAAGACTTTTTTTCTTCTTAAAAACATTATCAATAAAATATAGTTCCTATAAGAACTCTCGATCAATATAATTATAGTATATTCATAAAGAAGACTAATAGCATTAAATTAGTTTTTTTACGATAATATCATTAGATTACTTGACAATTGATTTTTATTGTAAAATTAGCCTTAAAATTATTAAGATTTCTCATCTCACTCTTTCTATCGATTACTTTTCACTTAAGATAAATGTTAGCAATATTATCTTTAATAATTTAAAAATTATTAAAAATCACAAATTTAGTGATTTCACGCCAAATCTCACTCCTATTTTTATGGCAGAATTTAATAAATTTTGTCATTTTTAATCAATTTCAGCCCAAAAAAAATATTAGAGAAAAAATTATTAGTATTTTTCTTTACCTAATTAATTAACACGTGTTAGGATTTATTTAAATAAATCTCCTCATAAAAAATTATAAAAAGATAAATAAAATAAAGTTTTTAATAGTTAAAATTTAATGTAAAAACTAATTTATAAAATTTTCTTCATGTTAATTTCTCTTAAAAATAATTTTCCACTTATATATAAGTTAAAATTTAACCTATTTAAAAAAGTTATTCCATCTTCTTCATTTCATAAATTGAAAATAATCTACGCGCATGTTTTAAAAAAGATTTTAAAGAAAGTAATATAAAATAATTATTACACATTAACTTCCGTATTAATTAAATTTAGGTTACATAGAAGTTGGTTCTATGTTTTTTTTATTTTTCATATAAGTATTTCTGAAAAGTTAATTGATAGGGTTGAGTAGAAGTGAACCTCCTCATTTTGGTTTTGCGGGATAATAGAACAAAACACACAGAAGCTCATTTGGTTTTTGCGGTCCAAACTTGAAAGCTTGAAAGCATGGAGGAAAATCAAAGGTTGTTTCTTATGGCGTCACCGTTACAAGGGCACATAACGCCGTTACTCCACCTGGCAGACATCCTGTTCTCGAAGGGGTTCTCCATCACCATCGTCCACACCCTCTTCAACTCCCCCGACCCTGCTTCCTACCCTCACTTCGATTTCCGCTCCATCTCCGATGGGTTATCCCAAACGGAAGCCTCCACGCTCGACGCCGTGCACCTCACCGACCTCATCAATGTCCGATGCAGAAACCCTCTCAGGGACTTATTGGCTGCGGCGCTGTCTCAGTGTAGGCAACGTGTTCCTTGCTTCATCGCCGACGCTGCCCTTCATTTCACTCAAACCGTGTGTGATGAGTTGAAGCTCCCGCGCCTTGTTCTCAGAACTGGTGCTGCTTCCTCTTTTCTTGTTTTTGCCTCCTTTCCTCTCCTTAGACAAAAGGGTTACCTCCCCGTACAAGGTTCCTTCTTCGCACCCTTCTCATATCACAGTTCCCATCTTCCAATTAAACCTTTATTTTATTCATTTATCTACATGTTATAATAAAAATATCTCATTTTTGCTTTTATCATTTATTTTCTTTTTCGACTGCAAATTGAACTAACGTGCCTTCTTGAGATGAAAATGCTCTAAAAAATATTCGTGTTTGCTTCTGTTGAAAATTCAGAATCTCGATTGGAGGAGCCTGTGGTGGATCTTCCACCGCTTAAAGTGAAAGACCTTCCTAAGTTTCCGTCACAGGACCCCGAGGCATTCTATAAGCTAGTTTGTCGTTTTGTTGAGGAATGCAAGGCATCTTCGGGGGTTATTTGGAACACCTTTGAAGAGTTGGAATCATCTGCATTGACAAAACTGCGCCAAGATTTGTCCGTACCAATGTACCCTATAGGTCCTTTTCACAAACATTGTCTTACAGGTTCAACTTCTTCTACTAGCTTGTTGACCCCAGACAAAAGCTGCATGTCTTGGTTAGACACACAAGAACGTCGAAGTGTTGTTTATGTGAGTTTTGGGAGTATTGCAGCTATAAGTGAGGCCGAGTTCTTGGAGATAGCTTGCGGGTTAGCCAACAGCAAGCAACCATTCTTGTGGGTGGTTCGACCTGGGCTAATTCATGGCTCAGAATGGCTTGAACCATTGCCAAGTGGATTCCTAGAGAATTTGGGAGGAAGAGGCTACATTGTCAAATGGGCTCCTCAAGAACAAGTGCTGAGCCATCCTGCAGTGGGAGCATTTTGGACTCATAATGGTTGGAACTCAACGTTGGAGAGCATATGTGAAGGGGTTCCAATGATTTGTATGCCTTGTTTTGCTGACCAAAAGGTCAATGCCAAATATGCAAGCGATGTTTGGAAGGTTGGGGTGCATTTACAGAATAAGCTAGAGAGAGGAGAGGTAGAGAAGACCATAAAAAAACTAATGGTTGGGGATGAAGTGAACGAGATTAGAGAGAATGCCTTCAATTTGAAGGAAAAGGCAAGTGTTTGCTTGAAACAAGGTGGTTCGTCTTACAATTTCCTTGATAGCTTGGTTAGTGACATATTTTCGCTGGAGTCTTCTACTTCTAAAGCTCATTGATTTCTCTACAACAGTCAATTACATGTAATGCAGAAGGTAACTTAGTATATGTACAACAATCACTGAACAGAACAATCAAATACTGATATAGCACATAATATCCACAACCTTTTACTCTTGCCTTGTCTACAATTTAAATATTTTTTGCTTATCCATGAGTGAATCTTCAGTTTTCTCAGTTCAAATGTATTTTCTACCAGTTTTTTGCATATATTCCATTTGATTTATGTTCTAAGTTGTAACATTAAAGATTAAGTTTATACTCTATAATCGTATTCTCTATAAATTGATGTATGTTCAGGAGAAGCCACTTGTCTTTTTCTGCAAGGCTGTAAAATACGTATATATTGCCATTCAGTCTTTTGTTTTTTTTGTTGATTGATGTTCACAAACTGTTGTTGATAGTCTTAGAATCCCAAGTAACAAGGTATATCTCTCTAACTCTATCTGAGGTTAAAGAGAAATTAGTAATTACAACTCCAATAAATTGAAGTGAAATCGTATGTCTATTAAGCAATGATAGTTGCAAACAGAAATTAGATTCATGGTTGGAATACTATCTTTAAGTTATTCACATTGCAGATAAATTACCCTTTCGTTTTTCACTGTCTTTTTTCCTAACCTTTAAGACTCCACAGAATGGCAAAAACAAAAGGATATAAGTAGAAGAAGTTTCTATTGACTATTGAAAACTGTTTCCATCCTATACTTGGTACTTTGTAGCGAGAAAAGTGAGGAGATAACATTGTAGCTCAACTACTAACTCGACCATGTACCACTATTTACAGAAAAGATGAAAGAAACACAAAGATTTACAAATCTTCATCGCTTTCACTGGTACACGAGTCATCCAAGTTGACAGCCGCTACTTTGGAAGCACTAATCCTAAAAGAAGCCGAACGAATCTTGTAGGGTAACTTGGCATTATTGCTTGCAACCACCCCACCACCACACTCTGACTCTTCCTCTTCCTCTCTCTTCAAATCACTAGGAGGTAAAAAGCAATCCAGGGACAACCCTTTGATGTTAAAATCCACTTCCTCAACTTGCCAAACCTCTTCCATTCTTGTCTTGGAATGTGTCTCGGGGCCCCCACCAAACCTTAACAAGGACACCCTAGTCTTCCCAGCGTGTGCTATTTGGATGCCATCAACGGCCCTGTAGTCTTGTATGAGGGACTCCATGTTGGTTTCCCAGTATATGTTCTCGTTTTCATGATGAGACTTGAGTTTGAGTAAGTGTGAGTCTTCTAGTTGCACTAATAGCCCTGTTCTTTGGCTGAAGTAGCCCCACACCGAGTGGCGAACTATCTCTACGTTGCTGTTGCTCCTCGCTCGCAGCGTGGATGGCTCAGCTTCGAGTTTCAATATGAAACAATCTTCGTTGTTCACTGTCTTCTCTCCGATGCATATGGAGTTGCCGAACAAATTAGCCGTCGACCTTGGATCAAGACCCTGTTAAAAAAAAAGTGTTAGATCATTCGTCTAAAGTTCATAGTCAAAATGTGAATTGTTATTGAAGAGATTTTGAATGATGCAATTAGTAATGTGCAGGCATTTTACAGTAGTTGTAGTAGTTCTGTCTTAGCAGTGTACATTATACTCTTGTAATTTCATACTTCGTCAACTTACTTCTTTCTGTAAGAGGGTTTATATTTTAGATTTTAGTGACACAAGAATAAATAAAGGAAATAAGTTGAAAAATGTAAATTATAAAAAGACAACGTATAATTTACTCTTGTTATTTGTCAGATACAAAGAAGATAATGAGAGGGTACGTCTTTTAACTAATTCAAAGTTGTTCTTTTTTATTATGAGGAGAGAAATATTAGCAACCTATCCTTTATCATACAAGAGAGGGTTAGAAAAAGTATTTTATTAGCACTTCTATCACGTTAATAATTTATTATTTAGTGATTGTTTTTACGTAAACCCTATATTAAATATTTTATACTTTCTTTATATTACCAGGCTCAACTTGAAGATTCAGTTAGTAATAAAAAATAAACAAAAGTTATAATGTTACTATTTACCAATTTTTATATTGGCGGCGTTACATGACGGTCAAATTCTACCTCTTACCAAATGGGGAAGTAGATAACAACTCCAACTGCCTCAAAACTGAAGAGGTTCCAGGCAAAAGAATAAAACAACTTCGAATGGATGAGAACAGGTTGTCACACACGGAGGAAAGCTAAGATATTGTTGACTTGTCTTAATCGCAACTACTAACTAGGAAAAATTCCCTGTTTGACTTTTAAGGAGGAATGTAATTCCCCGTTCCCATCTTATACTGTTTGACTTTTCATATTAAAATTTAGACCTTCTGGTTCCAGGTGATGCTAAAGGGAAGCAAATTTCAATGGGAAAGCAACAAAAAAATATATTTTTTTAATTCCTTTAGAAAATGGGAAGCACTTTGTTACATGGCCTTTTTTTCTTTCCTTGTTGGCATGTTTTGGTTTGGAAGGCTGTCAACAACCAACCCCACTTTTCTTCTCATGCTGAGGGAAGCAAGACTATTTGAGTTTTGAAGAGTTTAAAAATGAAGTGGGAAAGCTACACCTGAGAAAGAAAGTAAAGAGAAAAAAATAAAGTAGGATAGCACTTAAGCATGGTTTAGACTTGAAGGATCCTTTAACCCATTCATATTGATCAGAGGAAACCACTAGGCACAGGAAGCCTAGAGAGGCAATTATCTAGTTACCATGAAAATCAGTGAAGAATATGTCCTCTAGTAGCTAGAATGATTCAACTTTTTACCCCACCCATATACTAATCATAATTAAGCATGCTTTATTGCGCTGCCCCCATACAAACAAACAATCGCATGCCATCAATTTTATCATCACGATCATAATTAAGCATGCTCCTTTATGTCCCAATGGTTTGAAGAACTTTTTGTTAATTATTACCTGTAAGAAACGTCTAAGAGGTCTTGGTGGTCCACGAGAAGCATGAGAATGATGCCAAGGGGTTTGCCTCCATGCCACTTTACCATCACTACCAGCACTGATCTTGTAGCCAGAAACCACAAGCTCCAAGCACCACAACTCTGGCCTCTTCTGCCACACCACGAAACCCCCCACCTCTCCCTTCATCTGCAAGTTCTTCACCTTCACCACCTTCTTACTATTCACACTCCCTTCTCCTGCACAAAACTCAGAAGTCCCCATCTTGACCTGCCCCATTGCATACATGCTGTCCACACAATTCAAAGCACGTTCCCCTCCCACAGCCGCCACATACTGCTTCACTATATATTTAGCCATCGAAACCTCCTAAACAACCATACACAACACATCAAACAATCAATAAAGTCACCAAATTAGTGACCAACCTTCAATAATTTCATTTAAATTGTTTCATCAGTATTGAAACTGGAGTCACACCAGGAAGACAAAAAACTAATTTTTGGCATTCTGGTGTGATCCCGGTTAAAATAATGACTAATTTAAGCAAAGGGATCTATAATTTTTTTGTTATTGTATTGAATCATTGTGTACTGGAAGAAAAAGTGAAGGAAAAGATGACTGACAATGTGTTGGTCTTTAATGCTGCGAGTGATGGGTTGGTTGTCAGAGGCGATAGGTGAAGGGATTAATGGCGCTCCAACAACACCTAACAGAAGCTGAATCTCAGTGTTTTTGCCTCCAAAAACTGCTGTCATGGATGCTGACGATGATCTCGATTCAGAGTGTGGCTTCATCCAGTTCTTCATGTTGTGCCAAGCTTTGGTGGTTCCACTCTTGTGGGTGAGAATCTCCTCCGGGATAGGGACCTCAAGCACGGTTTCGAGCCCATCCTCCCGATCAAGATTGGGACAAAGCTTCTTCATAGCAAAGAATCAATCAAGCTTGTGCGTGCGCGTGTGTTTACTTCTTATTCCGGACCCAAGAGTGAGATAGATACTTTGGAGATAAAAGGATAGATAGATATTAAAGGTGTAGGTAGTTAAGGATATGAGAAAGTAACGAGAGGGGCAAGGAAAGCAAGTCTTGAATGGAAAGAATGAAGAATGAATGAATGCAAGTTGTAGTGTGAGGAGTATGAAACTTTGGAAAAGATTGCCAACCAAACTATGGAGGGTCCCCCCTTAATTTGTAACGTGGTCCGCTATGTCTATGTCGTGTTTGCACGCCTCTATTATTCACACTAACTTAAATAGGAGACTCATTAAGCTTATTCTTAACTTTTAATTAAAAATTGTGTTTGATGTTGACATGTACATATGGTTTCATTAAATTCATTTTAACATATTTTTTCAAAAGGGATCATTTTAAGTTAGGTTGTCCATTTTGAACTGCCAAAGTTACTGTTTTAAGTTACATTTTAGATATACCGTCGATGTCGACCCTGTGCTAGAGGAAAAAATGGAACCACTCTAATCGATCCATTCGTTGTTAGACTTTCACATCAGTGTTTTTACTTATCGGGATTCTTCATGTTAATTTTCAGTTCAGTTTTTGCCTCCAGAAAGAGCGAGTCAAATCTGTTATCATTTTATTGAGTAACGAAAAAAGATCAAATATCTGATATATTCCCCGGTAGAATAGGATGGTGATCCATTCCACTTTCAAGCTTTGTAACATCATGGTAACGGGGACTCCATAAAGTTAGACCTCCTATTCCAAATAATTAATTATTCTGAGTATTAAATCATAGGAGAATTTGAGATGTACTAGAACCATACAAAATGAATAAATTATACTTTTTTCCCCCTAGTATTGCTAACTACTATTGCTAATTATTGCGCGTATGCATGAAAAAGTTTAATAGTAACAAGGTGGTATGAGGTCTTTTTCACATAACTATATACAAATTGACAATATTAATTTCCCGTATTGAGTGAGAGTAAAATATACACCAAATTGGTTAATCACTAATAAAGATACTTTCTTTCTAGACTAATAATTATTTTTGAAACAAAGAGACTAGATTGCTACACTTATGAATGGTATACATATTTCATAAACACCCCCCCTAAAGCAAATATTATTATTATTATAATATAAAGTAGATAAGAAAATGGTTATCCACGTACACTACTAGCTAGAAGGAAATTAAGGAAAATGATAGATGGACACGCACGCACAGCAATGTCCGAGAAGCACATAAGATTGGTAAATGGCATAAACATTCAAATTGTGATCAGAAGGATGAGATTCTGGTTAGGAAGAAGTGAATCTATGGGTGTGTCGAAAGGGTAGGGTGCAGAGGCATGTGAGGTGTGGCCTGAAAGTATTTGCTGCCAAGTAACACATACATGGGGTTAGGGTGACGAGGATAGGATAGGATGTATTAACCGACAAATTAAGTTGTTGTCGTTTCCAATCATGCCATGCACGTTCTGTTGCTAATCTTTATTGTCTGTTGGGGCTAACATCGATGACGTAACAATCTTCTCCTCACAACTGCTATAAATTTATTTCTTAAACAAATTAAATGTATTCTACTCTTTGCTTACATTATTTTCTTAAGGTTATCATGTTCCCCGTGAAAATCTCCCTAGATTGCACAACAGCCCAGCACACGACCAAATATTATTATATTCCCTATATATTCTTTTAATTTGTTACAATTTTGTTTTCCCTTAAATTCTCACTATTATTTAATTAAACTCAAACAAAAGTGGAAAATTATGACATTAATTATTTATAACCACAGTTGCAATTGATTTTAATTACTCAATAATATGTAAATGTGTCGAGTGTCACCCAATTGGTCTAATTCAGTTGCAACATTATGGGGAAGATCGGATTTTTTTATGCATAAACATTCTTAGAGAGGGATGATGAGTTTTAAGTATGAATAAGTCGTGAATTGAGTATTAGTTTTGTAAATGACTCAAAAAATCAAAGTTTGTGAAGATATACCTCCATATCTCACTAAAGAGTCAAATGACCTAATTATGGTGGTTATTAAAAAGAAATGAGTTGAGCCATTGCAGTTTAGAATTAACTTGTGAAAAAAAGTAATTGAGACAAATTTGGATGACTTACTTAAACAAATTAAGCTTGAATTTCTTAAAATGTGCGTATCAAACTTAATTTGTTTAATTCATTTAAAAAATATGTTTATTCTTTAATATTTTCATGAAATTATTTCTAAATTTATTAATTTAATACTTAATAATATATTTTTTTATGTTAAAAGATAAAATAAAGAGATCATTTTAAAAATTAGAGTTACAAATGTGTTACATATTATAAAGGGGATGCCTTGAAAGGGTAATATAACTAAGTTAAATATCTTTGTTTCTACTAATTAATGTAATAACCTATCTTGACCCCTACACTATACAGTATAACTACTAGCAGTGAAAATGTTTAACTTATTAAGATTATAGATTTATAGATACGAAAAACATGTACTGTATTGTATGCATATAAAGGTAATTAACTAAATAAATATGTGCAATATAAATATAGTAATCCACTAAATGTAAACTATACATCATAAGTTGTCGATCAAACAAATAATACTATATATACACCTCTACCTTCATTAGGTAGTCAAAAAACATCCTTCAACTCATGCACCACTGAGTGACCTCCACAACAACTCTTCAGCCCTATCCTTACCCTACTTTCATACCACATATGATTATTACAATCTAAATCACATAAAAACATGTAAGGGTAAGTTAGAGTAAAAAAGAAATAACATAGAAACATCACATCATCATCTCATCTTTAACAACACAACAATAGGGCATCATAGTATACAACACAGATCAATACAATAACTTAAGTTTAACACTAACACATTTCATCATAGATCAATACAACATATGAACAACACTATCAACTCATTTCATCATATGCTCCATCAACACAACAACTAATGCATTGTCACACATTTCAACTTGGAGATCTCCTACGACACAAAGGTGAACAATTTAAGTGGATTGACTCTACCAAATCGACAATACATAGTGATCTTTTTAAGCTTGTTAGATCAACATCAAATTGGATAAAAATTCATAACACAACAACTTGATTTCTCAGATGTCATCACTTAAATAAGGAAATAGAGTATTATTATCAGGATAGAACAATTGGGTATGAGTTTACCACGATATTAGCTAACTCGCTTATCTAAGTCTCCTATGGGATTAACTCACTAACTATCCTCCAAATACTTTGCCGTTTTGATACTCAGTTAGAAACTAGGTTCTTGACTTTGTACTTTACTTGGTTGGTCACTTATAATCAGTATAACTCAACTTGACCCCTATACTTTGGTCACTTTACACACGTGTATCTCCACCTTGTCCACAAACGGTACCAACAAAGTTCTAGAAGAGAAACAACATAGTATTCACTTAAATGGTCAACTTCCCAAGAAGGATTTTCAATAAATTGGACTTTTGGAGCACCTCAACACAATATCCACACAATGAGATATGCAACTTTTCAAAAATCTCTCCTCTAGTTCTAAGTGGTCAACACAACTCAACAACATGACAATTTTTTATTGAAATCAACACACAATTTTATAAATCTCATAACTCAATCATCACAACTCTTATTCAACTATGTAATCAACAAATATCACAATAACACATTGTATATTCAACTCAACTACACAGCCAACATACAACTTGGTCAACACATCTCACATCTTATATCTACTCCTCATCTAGCAAGTCATTCATCATATTTTTATGTAACAACTTAAATCAACAAGTAATCAACACTTTATCAACTACATCATCATGTTTTCCTTCAGCAACTAGCATTCGATGCTACTCACTTAGCTTGAGCCCAACGCCATCTAGGCAAGGAGCTCTTTGTCTTGCACACGCCTAACACTATACAACCCATGCTTGGCGTGGCTAAGGTAGAGACCCCTAAAACCTTACACCTAGTGTGGTAATTTACCACGTATGGCCCCACCTTCGACAAAGAGCCTCTACCCGATTCTTGTTCAACATCACCACATTGTCACTCGACAAAATTCAAAAAAAGACCTATGGCTTGGGCATGCTGGGTGCCACTCAACTTTGGGTCTAGCATAACTAAGTTAAAGAGCTCTCAAGGTTCCTACACTTGACACCATTCAACCACATTTGATGCCATTCTAACTCGAGATGAGTTTCTCTCCTTACACCTGACGCCACTAATCCTGTGTTCAGCGTGATCGAGACAAAGAACCTAAAGTTAGAACAATGCCCAACGCCTTAAAGACGCGCCAAGTGTGATTGAGATAGAGAACCTTGCACTTGAGCCACAACCTGAAATCCAACAAGTTTCCAACACATGCAACACAAGACAACAAACATATACATCATAATTAACTCATTAATGCACTCAATTTCAACATGCAAATAAGGTTCAACAAAAAATCTATTAATGATTATGGCCAACAACCCAAAAACCCCATTTTCAACTTGTTTTCCTCTTTGAATTCATCAACACAGCCACACATAATGTGATTCCATACTACACACAACTCAGAAATGGTTTTCTAACCCTCAATTCATACATTACACTTAAAATTTTCCAGCTTCCCTTACCTTGGGTAGCTAGAGTCCAAGATAGAAGAAAAGGAAAATTAAGTCTTTGCAATGAAATCAACGACTTGATTCTAGGTTTCTACTACTTGAATCACAAACATCACAACTTAGATAAGGATTGAAGGAAGAAGAAGAGAAGATTGAGAGAAAAAGAGCTCACGAACCAGAAATATTCTCTATAGGATCCTGTCTCTAGACTTTTAAGGGAAATGAGTATTTGAGGCTTTGTTCAACCAAAAACTTTACATACTCTCCCCTCTGGATCAAACTGGATCTTTCCCATATACATCTCTTCTCAACACCATTAAAACTCTAAAAGGATCCTGAGATCCTCGAGCCTCTCAACATTAACAACTCAACTTAATAATATAAAACAACTAGGGATAATATAACACTATCATCACTTATAGTGTTACAATTAAGATCTATGATAGAATCCGACTTCTCTCGTACTTTATTTCTTTCCATATGAACTTGTATTAGAAATGAGATAGATAATTCATAATTTTTTATTATATGTTAAATAAATTATTGTCATTTTTTAACTACTCCTACTTGTATTACATTGTTTT